TCTTAGTGAAGTCAATGGCAGGACTCCCACTGGCTTTTATTAGGGCCAGATTTCACTCAAGATATTTAGTCCATGTTTCCTTTGTCTGATTTCAAGTTTTGCAAAAGACTATACTAACCTGAATAGCATTACTACATTGTAAATGAAAGATCAAATCTAACAATACAATACCTGTCAGTTCTGTTCTGTAAGACTATATAGCATCCTCCACTATTAGCAATTAAAGCAGCATATCTGAGGTCAGTTATTTGTGTATTTGAGATTGGTTTTCCATCCAAAAGTTAGAAATATACATAAAAAGGATAATTTTAACAAAAATAAATACACAAAATAATACAAAAATGATTGATAAAGAGTGCAATTTGAATAGACAAGAGACAGAGAAATAATCACTCATCTGGGGTGAATTCCTGGTGTCACTGAAATCACAGAGGCCAAAATTTCTGCCAGGCCTCAGAGCAATATTTTGCTGCAAGTTCTCAGTATTTAGAATGCCCAAGTACAGCAATTATATAGTACATAAGGAAATGATTAAAAAAACCTCACAAAATTTATGGCATCATTTCTAAAACAGATTTAACATAAAGCTACCATATAATATGTACATATACACTTCACAGACTACATACACAATTTTTGGTTACTAAAACTTCATGCTTATTGTCACATTGTTTTTGACAGACTCAAAACATTTGCATGTCTTGAATAATTTGTAAACATTTGTAAATAAAGTCTTGAAAACAGATTCAATAAACAAAAAGCTCTCTCTACAATGAACCGATTTTGGCACCACTTAATACAAGGTATGCAACTCTCACTGCACACACTATCAACATTGGATCTCCATAATAAGCACCTGTCCGTTAGCACACTAGGCATACATTCATTAAAATAAATAAGATTGTAGAGGCTTCAATGAATTAGTATCTTAGGCTACGAAACTTTGGCTTTCTCAGGCTAAGCATTGGTTGCTTAATTGTGGGTTTGTTTTCAAGTAGTATTGCCTCGCTTTCCGTAGTTGGGAATCTGTTCTGGTAGATCAGAGGATATTCCTTCTGAAACTGAAACATAAAAGAGCTATTACAGCAGGCTCCACTTAAAAGCAGATATGCAGTAACCCTACTGGGCACAGTGGAAGATACCTCTCCTATGACACCCTATCTTACAAGGATGGCTTTGTGTCAGATTAAAGTGTAAACAGACATTTTATGGATACCCCATTCTTTTGCTTGTCTCTCTGAAAGTCTACAAAAGTGCTACTCTACCCTGCCTTGCTTTTTGTCAGACCTCATTTTTCTTCATATCTTCACTTTACCTTTTCTTTTCAGAAATACATCATGGATTGATTTTCCTGTTTTCAGCACACTTTTCTCTCTCTGCCCTTACCCAGAGAGTTGTTGGAAGAGAAAGGTGCTAGAATACCTACCCGGGTTGGTGCGACTAAATTGTGGTCAGGAACTCAAACTTTCATATCAGACTCTGATAGATAAACATGTGATAACTTTGACATTTTATAACCTTTCTATCTACTGCTGAAAGAGGAAAGATGTTTTTCCTTTTCCCCATTCCTTTTCCATAGTCTCCTGGCTATTGTGATTATGACAGAGGTAGTCAAGCACTCTGTTATCCTTTCCCCAGTCAATACTTGCTACTTACCTCTCCATTTTGAGTAATAGTCAAAGCTGACTGACGAATACATAAGCACCTAACAACAAAGCAACATTGACACTATTCTTATTAGTTTAGCCATTACCATTCGATTCTGAATATTAATTTGAATATTTCCTTTTTCTAGAACTTGGTAAAATTATGAACAGAAGAGGAACCACAGTCACCTGTCTGCTAGCATTGATGTCTGGTTGGTTATCTTTTAAGACCCGTAAGTATTATTTAAATGGAAGCTTAGATTCTTCAGGTATTGATAAACACTTCCCCAGGAAAGTTTCCTACTAAGCATATGACAGCATATTTGTCAAACTGTTCCAATATGTCAAAAGCAGGTTTCTAAAACCAGACTGACTTCCCATCATCTTTTCTATGTTTTTTTCCTGCAGAGCCCAGGTAGTGAGAGGAAAAATTAAATAATATATAAACACTATATAATAACAACAAACATTGCTTTTCCTTTAGGTGTACATCCACTTTATTTCTGTGTCCTTCTCATTCACCATGCAGAGGCCTGTAAACCACACCATCATTTTCAATAATATGTGGTAATCAGTGGAAAGCTTGGGGGGGGGTGTGTGTACGCATGCATGTGTGAGTGTGATATACATATATAAACACGTCAAATTTAAGACTACCCCCCACTAATTAGATTCTATACATGGAAAGTAAATTTGCTATAATTTTCCAGGAGCGTACACGGTAGCTGTGCTGGTCTGAGACAAGAAGACATACAAAAAAATAGAACTCTTGGTTCCAAAATGATACCTTTTATTAGTGGGTATCATTTTGGAACCAAGAGTTCTATAATTTTCTATGTATAGAATCTTATTAGTGGAAGGTCATCTGAAATGTGTCCCCTACAAAGCTCTGGTGGAGAAAGTAGTGGCAGGGGAGAAAGGGACCCCTGTCCGCCCCCCCTGCCATTTGCCCCGCTTTACTTTCCCCCCTGCCTGTGTCTGCCCCCTGCTGTCTGTCCACTGCACCTTGTGCCTGTGCCTGCCTTCCTGCCACATGCCCCCTGCACCTTCTTTCCACCCCTCCATGAATGTGCCTGCTCTCCACTCCCTACTACTCCATGACTGTGCTTAGTCCCACCTAGCCCCTCACTCCAGGGAGGGTGGAGACAGGCTGTGTGGTCTTCCTGCAAGCTGTACAGGTGGGTCTCCCCTACTCGCCCTTCCCTCTCCACCGCACAGTCTCCCTCACATTCTGCTGGCCACGTGCTCACTCCCCTGCAACACGAGCCACTCTAGCCCAGGTTAGGTGGTGACTCAGCATAGTTTGGTTTCAACTCTGAGCCTGGGGCCAAAGCTGGAGCTGAACTGACGCCTGATCCATATTGGTCAAGTTAAAATACTTTGTTTTTTATTTGAGTAAATACAGTACATATATCATACACAAATTAGATCAAGCTTTTTGCTAATTAACTCATCTTACTGAAAATGATATTATAGTTTATAGGCCTCTGGGTAGCAAATGGGGCAGACACAGAAATAATGTGCATCTACTCTTAATGGAAAAATGGTGTTTATCAGGATGTCACTCCAATCTGAAAAAAAGAAAAATCAAAGTAAACCTGTAGTATCTGCCACTCTACAAGTTATTTTAATTAGTGATGACAGGCAAGATGACTTTTATAGCTCCCAATAACATTAAAAAACCATATAAACAAAACAACCCCCCCACTGCACTACTGTATATTCCTCCTCATTACAGTGTATATCACAAGTCACACACAAAGCTTCTGGGTTTTGGCAGGTATTCATTGACAGTTTAAGTATGCCAACGAGAGAAAGCTGCCAAAGTTTTAATTTCATTTTTCTTCTTCCCTTATTCTGTCTGTTGGAAGAACTGCTGTGTGCTGGTTCTTACTGTTCAGCTACTTAAGAGATTTAATCTACCAGTTTTTAACACAATAACATGTATGCAGTTATGTTCAAGTAATTAGATAGAAATACTCAGTTTCCATTTGTGTAACCAAGTTTAAGAAGTGCTTACAACAGTTTCCTCCCCCCCACAAAAAAATCAGTCTTGTGGAGGCTGGCAGAGGAGAAAAGGACAATGTGGATATTTAAAAGCTGCTTTTTTGGAACTCGGTTTGAGTCATAAGATTGGTTTAGTAAGTTCTAGGACAAGTACAATCATTCACTGCAGAGAGACTTATGAAAGGTTTTTTGTAACAGGAAAAAAATTTCCAGTGTGAACACCTGCCAGAGTTGTTGCATTTTTTGTCTGTCAGGCAACAGATTAGTAGAATCTAGAAGCCTCAGATAATCTCTAGAATATAAAAGTTGTTCAGCATTATCACTATATTCTAAAACATCAAACTACTTTGTCAGAAGAGTATGCTCCCAATTTGGAATGATTTAGTATTACATTTTTAAACCAAAACCCTTTATGTATAATTTTTTGCAACACTTGTTTATCCATTTTAGATAACCAAATTTTATTGATGAAAACACAGGCGATGGTGTGGGGAGGGACACGTACCCACCTTGAGATTGGCTGCCGCTGAAGTCGGCAACGGCTTCAGTGGGCAATCGCCAGTTGCCAGCTGCCCCCCCACCCTCAATGCCGATGCGGCCGGCGCTGTCTGCAGGCAGTCCCTGCTTGCCACCCCCAAAACCCTCCAGGGTCTGCAGGCAGTCCCTGCTCGCCACTATGGTGTCCCCCTAGTCATTCACGGATGAGGATACACCAAGTGGGGAGATCATGGAAAGGGAACTGGCATCTAGAAATCAGACAAAATAGTTTATTCATGTCACAGCATTGGTATTTAATGCAGTGTTTTAGAATATAGCGATAAGACTGAACAACTTTTATATGCCTAGAGATTATCTGTAGAATGATTTTGTATTTTGGTCTTACAGTACATTTGGCCGTACTGATAGACAACATGAAGTCTTGTACTAGACAGACATTCTCAACTGTGCTGAATAACTTGGTCTGCAGTTTTGCAAGAACACTGCTATACATTTTCCAGGCAAGAAGGTATTGTGTGCAGATTGCATGACCTAGGACAATAATGTTGCAGTGCAGACGTGATTTAAGCTCCCTTTAAAACAGAATCAGAATTGGTCATCATGAAAGCATTTTACCTAGACTAGTTATATCCAGTCCTCTATGCCAGGGGTCATCAACATTTTCTGGTGGCAGACTAGAATGACCCAGCTCAGGTCAGAGGCCAGTACTAGCACCCAGCCCCTACAACACCTTTTCCTTGCTGCCTGGCTTCAGTGGGGTGCAAACAAAGCTCCACTGCGCAGCACAGACTGGGCCCCCTGCCACTGAAGCCACAGTTCCACAGGCCAGATGCAAAGGCTCTGCCAGTTAGATCCAACTATGCACTGTAGGTTGTCAACCTCAGCTCTATGCTGTAAAACTGGCATCCGATTCTAACAGTTCGCTTATATGATGGACTGGGATCCAATTAACAGAGCTCCTATTTTCACTTCTAAATAATTTTAAACATCGTGCACATTATGTGTACACACGTGCTTTTTAATAAAAATTGAAATAATTAAAAAAAATATATAGTTATTTTTTCTTCTTACCTGTTTTAGTTTTTTCTTCTTGTCTTTCAGAGACAAGGTTTTGTCTCTGATAATATTTTCTAAGAGTTCTGCAACTGCAGCTTGGGAGGCAGAAATCCTTTGTTCATCAAACTCCTGGGGAGTTATTCGTTTACAGTACGAATAAGTTGGCAATATAGCACTCATTTCTTCCATGGGATATTTGCACTGCAACAAATAAGGCAATAAAAGTCTACACGTGCTTTAATAATACTGTCCGAGTAAAAAATGATACATCTTTCTTGCATTCAGTTACGTAACTTCAGAGCGCTAAAGAACAGTGGAAAAACAACCTATGATTGTCCAATTAGTTGCACTTTCAAAAACTGCAATTTGAAAGTGAAAGAGTGGAATACAATTTTGTTTTTTCAAATTGGCATTACTAAAAACCAGTAATTTCTAAATAGTTATTAGCTAATAGTTCTAGTAACAGGCATTACTAGAAACCAGTAGTTTCTAAATAGTTATTAGCAAAAGTATTTCAACTTTTATTACTGGACCCACCTGAGCCGTTTTCATATATGCTATGTGATCTTGCACTGCAGCCTGTAAATAAGTTGGGACCTGAAAAATTTCTTGTTGATGATCCATTAGAAATGAAACTAATCTTGTGGCAAGTAGCTCATCAAGATCTACTTCTTCCGCACAGCATAACACACAGCGAGAAAAAGTCTGTATCATCTGGAAGTATTTAGCAGATGGTCAGTATGCAAAAATTATAATTATTCTCCAGTCTAGCTATAGCTCCAAACTGCTTTCCGTTCCACATACTTAAATCACAGCACACCTTCATAAGCACTGACAGACACTGCTGGATCAAGAAGGAAATTGCTTATCATTTCCCACATTTGAAATAAAACATTTTTTCTTAAAAAGAAACAGAATGATATTTTTTGGTTCAGTCATTATAGAAAAAAGTAATAAGGCCCCAAATTCTTCTCCATCCACAAAACCCACACTTCTCAGAATGGCTAAAGCAGCAGCCTCAAGAAAGCAGAAGAGATTCCCTAATCCTTTCCTAGCAGCCAATGTTTGGGACACAGACATAAGATGCAGGAAACTCTGGCTCAAGTCTCTCCTTTACATAAAAGAAATCTGATGCCCTCTCCTGTTGGCAGTGTTTCACTTTGTACACACTGGAAGCCATTGCAACAGAGACTAGAACCCATCTCTCACATCACTACCAAGCAGAAGTTGCTCTCTCAAACTTACTCTCTGTCCAGTTTGTAGTGTTCAGAATACTCCATGACATGGCAACGGAGGCATCCTTCTGGGAGGTGGGAGATGTGCTTTCAAATCCCCAGAAGAAAAGAACTAAGTTTTCCATATCCTGGGTGAGTGACTAACCACAGGACTGCCAGATGAAGGGTAGGGAATATTCTCCTCTGGTTCTGCAATCTATCCCTTTACTTTGTTGGCCTTTATCATCACAACAAAACATTTCAGAAATATCAAACCAGCTTTTTTCAAAATTCCTGAAATGTTTTGTGTCCCCCCCACCCGAGACAAAGCTATATATTTTGTTTGACCCAAAATGCTTTGACAAGAAAAAGCCAAAAGTTTTACATATGCATTCCTCTGATCCTTCTCCTCCTTACTGACTTTTTGGAATCAATAGCCAAATTCCCACCACCCAATCAAATAATTCACTTAATCCTAACCAGCTGTGGCAGAGCAGAGCAGCACAGGGTGCAGCCCTTCCTACTCAGGCTCCTGACAGCATCTGGCAGGCTGAGTAGGATCAACTGGCAGGCCAGACATGGGCTTCAGGCTGTGTTTTACCAACCCTGCATTATAATGACACAAGGTCTAGTGCCTCTTTATTATATATTTATTTCTATTTATTGCCACCCCTCCCAAAAAAGGTTCATGGAGGTTTACAAAAGAGAACAAAATAAGAGAAAGAGTAAGTTATAAGACACAACAGAGTACTAAAATAACCTACGGAGCAAAACCTCCCTAAACAATATTGCGGCTTAGCCTTGTCTGCTAAATGAAGTAATATTAAGAAAACAATGATAATAGTGGATACTGAAGCTTTTGAAAGCTTTTTTAACTTTCTCCCAATTATGTAGGTGGTCTAATAAAAGATATCACCACAAAAATAGCCTTGCCTCTTATTTCAGCACCATTTTTATATTACTGGGTGTATTCAATTTACCTATCCTATTAGAGAGTTGTCTTACCAGAGATCTGGTGCCCATTGCATCATGAAGTCGTGGCATATCAACATTTTGGCTGATTCGAGAGATCATGCGCATTAGGAGTTGAAGCCTTCTACGATTTGGAGGAGGAAGCAACAAACAACATATTTGTAGTGCTTCAACAGCAACTCTTTCTATGTGAGGCTGTAGGAGATCTACAAGTTAATTGTAAACAACAGCTATCATTAAATTTTGAAATGATCTAGAGCAGATTAGAGAAATACCATTTTTTCCCATGTAAAACAATAGGTATTTTATAACAATCTGCACTAATATAGAATTAAGAATCAATTTGCTATTTTTTTTCATGGTTAATGCCTCATTTTGTTGACATACATTATTGAAACAGTTCAGGAATGTAACAAAAGCTATTTCTCAGAGTAGAGTTCTCTTTTCTTAAAACTATATTATGTATCATTTAGCTTATTTATAAGCCTCTAAGGACTCCTTAAAATTTCTACCTTCACGTTTCAATAAGAGTAAAAAAAACCCCAAACCAACCTGCTACCTATAAATAGGATGATCTGCCAATTCCTTTCTTTTTCTCAGATGTCTGGATTATGAGGAATATCACTTACCCGAAGCCAACATATGCAGGGTAAATTGCTGATATATTGGTACTTAGGGAAGAGATATTATTACATGCTGGCTTGTATTATGGAAGATATGATAGCTTGCATTTAAGAAAATTAGTTAAAATTACTTAACTTCATAACTATTAGAATGCTCTTTAGACAGACTATCGTGTACAGATTTTGCTTTTTAAATAACAAACAATGGGGCCAAAGATAGCAGGGAAGCAAAGACTAGTTAGTTTATACAGTAAGCAAATAACACATGCTTTGGAAAACAATCTTACTTTGCGTGCCAGTCAACATAAAGGTAGCTGAAGTAAAAGAGTTTTCAGAAAGTTCTACTGTGCTTTTGCAGAGTCTTTTATTGACAGTGATATCAGAATCTCCAGGATCATTTTCTACAGTAGTTGCCAGAACAGTAGGACTTGGTTTCCCTGGTCCGAAATGAAGCTCAGGACCTGGTTTTACTATTATTTCAGCAACTGGTGTATTGATGCCAGAGAAGTTTTTGAAGTTATTGCATCCAAGCAAACTCTGGGATCTACATAGTTGCTTTGATCTGTAATTTCCATTACACAGTTCTTGGTCCTGGACAATTGATGCAAACTCTCTCTTGAAAGCACAGGGTTGTCTTTGGCCAGTGCTGTCTGAATGAAGATCCACAGATTCTCTTTTGTAGTCATGGTGCAGTAGTTGGTTCTCATTTTTTTTGCCCGATATTATGTTAACATCAATGTGACAGAGGGAATTTGATTCTTGTTTACAACGAGAACTTGAAACAGTATCTACAATTCTTTCCAAAGAAGAGCACCTTTTCCTAAATTTTTGAGGTTGTGCCTGTTCATTCGTTAAACCTGAAAGATTTTGACAGCTTCCTCTTAGTAGGCGATCAGTACTGGCTCGTTTACATGCCAAAGCATATCGCTGTGATTTCTTGGCACATCCTTTTTGAAGATTATGTTCATTTTGAAGACTATTTCCAGAAGTCTCAGATGCTTCCTCTTTTCTCTCAGGCTCTTTACGAAGTAAACTTAGAAGAAGACATTCAGTTGACTTGAAAGAGTTCAAATGCAGTGTTTTTGAAGGCTGTGGGTTACATGCCTCATCTTGGCTAGAATGTTTTCCATTGGATCTATTTGGAATTGTGATGTAGCCACACACAACTATCAGAAAATGAAATACAAATTAAGATGCAAGTGATGTGAAAGTGGACGAGATAAGAAAGAGCTAAGTAGATAAAACAGAGTCAACATATATAAAAGACACTAACATACAGTTCACATTGTTAGTAATGTCTACAAAAGCATTAGCTCAATGAGAAAGCAATTTAAACAAGACACATGCAATAAATTAGGCCATACATGTAAGACAAAGGACAATTAAACTTGACACCTAGCTTTCAGGAACAAGACTAGGATTAGTCTATATTATTTTAAATTATGGTTATAAAATCTAAGGAATATCAAGCCAGACACTTTGATTAAAACAAGAATCTAATTGTATTTCAATTTACACTGACACACAGAACTACTACAGCAGATTCCCATTGACATACCAAAAAGAGCCCAATATCTGTTTTCAATTACATATGTACATCCCTGTTGCGTCAAATTTGCACTTTGGGCTTTAAAAAAAACCAACCTGAGTTATTTCTAAATCGTACATACCCAAAATGTTCACAAACAGTTCATAGTACTCAAAAGTAAGCAATGGTTCAGGGAGACTAAGGAAATAATCAGCAACTGTTCTGAATACATCCCGTTCAAAACCAATGTAAGTTGGCTGGCTCAAGTCATTACTTCTGGGCCCTAAAATAAAAACAAGGAAGTTCGTGGTAGTGTAAGTCTCATAATAAACACGTGTAAATAAACCTGCAATGTTAGCAGGTAAAAAAAAGCCGGAATGGCCCAGTATTTTCAAGGAAGTATGTGACTGATGGACACTATAAAAAACATTTTACCAGAAGTTCAATTTTCTTTAACTTGTAAGCAGAAGTAAAAGGTTCAGTATAGCAACAGATAGTCAAACAAACTGCATCCAACAACAAAATTTTAGTCACTAGAACCCTGCATGGATAATCCCATCTTCTCCGATTAAGCAAACTCTTTACACAACAAAGCATCTTCAAAAAGGGGAGGGTAACACATAAACAAACATATTATGGCCATTAGTCAATTTTCCCCTTTCTCTCATTAAGCTAGAGTTTCCTCTACAGGTAACCCTCCCTCATACTACAACTGAAAGAGATGGCAAGGTAAAGAAAAATACCATCTTTTGCTTCAAAATAAAAATGACCAATGAATATTTTAAATACATTAATTAATGTGTAAACAACGCAAAGTTTTATAAATTTTCATAAGGTCCATAACTCACTAAATATGTATATTATGCACTCAGTACAATGGTACTTCATTTTTTCCATATGCATATACTTCCAGTCCTAGTGTGCAGAAAAGCTTTTGCTTTAATTATTTTAGGTTTTAGTTTAACTAGCAGGTGCAAAGGGAATATACCCACTTGACTGATTTATTCAGAATTAAGAAACAGATTGGGAGCTGAAAAAAAACCCAAAAACAGGAGAGAAGATTTCTGTTTCTAATCAATGAATGAAAGCCAAGATATGGCCAAAGTTATTTAAGAGTGCTGACAGAAGTGATGTTTTGTCATACAATCAGTCACTGAAAGCGCTCTACAGCCATGCACTGACAGAAGTGCATGGCTGCAGAGTGCTTTAAAAAGTGCCACAAATGAACCCTCATTACACGAGGGTTCAGATGAAGGTGCTCCAATCCAAAACGGTGCGACTCCATTAACTTCTGTTGGTGCACGCTGGGAGCAGGGCTGGGCTGAAGCAGCCAGGCCCCATCCCTGGTGTTGTCTACAGGATGGGATGGAGGGGGAGAAGAGGGGAAGGAGGTTCCATCTGGCGTTTGCCCAGCCTGTGCTGGAGGGTGGGGCAGGTGAATTGGAGCCCCCCCCATGCAGGGCTCCAATCCACCTGCTCCCCCACTCCAGTGCAAATCCCAGAATGGACCTCTCTCCTCTGTCTTCTACTCCTCCCGTCCTGAGACAGCTAGGGGAAGAGGCTGCAGACATTAAGCCTCACTTGCTGGATCAACTCTGAAGTGGGGCTCAATCCTCCACCCTCCTGATCCAACAGTGAATGTCTGTTGGGTCCGGCGGGTCGGTCTAATTCATGGCATTTTCTGTAAAGCACCATGAGTTAGATGGGGAAGCTGCATGTCTGTCAGTGCCCTAAGTGCCTAAACTTCAAGGTTAGCACTGGGGTGGGGGGGAATTTACAACTTTGACTTAAATTAATTCAGCCAACTCTGTCCTGTTTCCTCCCCGTTTCCTGCAGTGATCTTCCTAGAAAAGACTATGGGTTTTTAGGCATTGTGGGTAAAGCAGTATAAGTCACTCACCATAAGATGACAAACCTCAGGTAGAATTGTACTTGTGTTCAATAGCTGTACTTGCTACCGAGTACTCATCACATATGCATTTCTGTATAAACTAGTGGTGCTCAACCTTTTAGCCCCATGGGCCAGATCAGTGGTGTGGAGCCAGTCTATAAGCCAGATCACCCACTCCCTTCCCTCTCCTCGGGTTGCACCCTGCACTGCCCCAGTTGTGCAATTTAATGTGCAGGACCAGGCTATCTGCTAATTTGGTAGCAGATAAGCAGTGGTACCACCCCTCTGCTGCCAATTTTTCAAACCCGTGGGAAGCCCTGTGGGCTGGATGACATGCTACCAGGGGCTGGATCTGGCTAACAAGCCAGGGGTTGAGCATCCCTGATATAAACAATCTGACTTAACAGAAGGGGACAATTGTAAAACTAGAATAGACCTCTAAGAGAGTTCCTGCCATTTTTAATTTCATTTGGAAAACCTTGACTTAAGTTTTGCATGCTGCTTTAAGAGGGACTACTTTGTAGGGCTGTTTGTTCGCCAATTCGATTCAGAGGAGATTTGGCCCAATTCGACAGCCGAATCTCCAAATCCAAATCCAAACGAGACACCCATTAAAAGGTCTAAATTGAATCCGAAGCCTCTGAACTGATTTGGAAAAGATTCGGAGAGATTTAGAGAATCAGATTGGCCGGGGAGAAGCAGGGACATCCGGGCGGCTGCAGGTTCTCCTGAGGCTCCTCCGGCTGTGCCTGTCTCTCCCCTGGCAGGGGGAGCCGCGGGAGAAGCTCCCCATGGCTGCCCTGCCTGGCCCCATCCCCTGCCCCCTGGCACTTTCATGAACCCCACACTCACCAGCTGTAGCAGTAGCGATCAGGGCCTCTGGGGGCTCATGGCAGCGCAGCAGAGATTGCCCCCTCTCCCCCCTGCCCCGGTGTGGCAGCTGCCCCATGGTGCATATGCAGCGTAGCTTGGTAGAGCATTGAGCATTGCTGGGCTCCGGTTGACACGTGGAGCCATACCTTTTTAGATTTTTATAGGGAAGAAGTATATCCATGATACCAAGCCAGATATGCAATGATAAAATTTGTGGACCGTATGGATATATACAAATTTCTTAATACTAGAAATAATTAATTACAGGGGCACTAAATACTTGCATTCTACACAAAAGCATGAGCAGGAAACATATACTGTGATTGATGACTCACATTCTACAGGTGTTGGAAATGCAGTTCTATCACAAAATACCATTTTAGGCAGAGAAAGTGGGTAGCTACTAGATCAGCCTACCCTGGGAAGTAGTGATTCATGAGGCTCACTGATCTGTTCCTAATGAACTACCACTATGAAAGAGATTATGCTTTAAGCGTAAAACTTCCTGAGATGGTCTGGAGAGAACCCAGAGAAAGACAAGGAAGATGGGTGGGAAACTAGCTGCAGGGTCGGATACTAATCGACGGATCTGTGCCGACCTGGTGGAAGGTAGCCAGTGGGGTCTCCCAGGTTTTGGTGCTCGGACCAGTGCTTTTCAACATCTACATCAATGATCTGGATGTGGGGGTGAAGAGCACACTGGCAAAGTTTGCTGACGACACTAAGCTTTGGGGAAGTGTGGCCATGCCTCAGGGTAGGCGGATCTAGACAGATTAGTTAGACGGGCGGACCAGAACCAGATGCATCACTGAGAAGTGTAAAGTGCTCCGTCTGCGGAGGAAAAATCCACAACACTTACAGGCTCAGTGGTGCTACACTAGCTAGCGCCATGTCTGAAAGGGACCTGAGGGTCATAATTGATCATAAAATGAATATGACCCACCAGTGTGATGCTACAGTTAGCAGAGCAAACAATATGCTGGCATGCATCAACCAATGCATCTCAAACAAAACTAAGAAAGTTATTCTCCTGTTGTACTCTACATTGGTGAGGCCGCAGGCTGGAGTACTGCATCCAGTTTTGGGCGCCACGCTTCAAAGAGGATGTGGAGAAGCTTGCAAGAGTCCAGACAAGCGCCACTCATATGATTAGAGGCCTGAAGAGCAAGCCATACAAGGAAAGGCTGACAGATATGAGACTGTTCAGCCTAGAAAAGAGAAGACTTTGGGGAGATTTGGTAGCAGCTTACAAATATATCAGGGGTGAGCATCAGGAGCTAGGCAAACCACTGTTCACCAAAGCACCCTAGGGGAAAACCAGGAATTTATGACTGTTTCTCCTAGGAGGTTTCAGACTGGTTATAAGGAAAAACTTCTTTATGGTTGGTGTGACCAGAATCTGGAATAGACTCCCAGCAGGGATGGTGCAGAGACCTACCCTGGAGATCTTCAAAAGGAGACTGGATGCACACCTTGGGGTTATTTGGCCCCAGCAGTCTTTCCTGCCTAGAGCAGGAGGGCTGGACCCTATGATCTCACAAGGTCCCTTCCAGCCTTAAATTTCTGTGAATCCATGAATCTGTGAAGCTCTACAGTAATTTACACTTCCGCTTCAACTGAGTGATTTATATTGTAGAAATGATGGAAGATATTTAACAAGTTTTCAAGGAAAGTATGCAAAAAGTATAAAAATTCAATTTCTCCACTCACCCCCATATTAAAGAATGACTTACCAAAAAGTTTAAACACAGGTGTTTATGTTAGGTCACTTTAGTGCTTTAAGGAACCAACAATTCTCTCCCCCTTCCCCCAGAACCCATTCCACTTCTTTTTCCTAATTTAATAAGACAAAAGTAAAGGTTATTTTTGTCTGGCTCAAGAGGAGGCAATGAGGAACATTATATTTACAGGAGAGAGGAAATTGTTTAATTTTTCTATGCTCATAGATTCATAGATGCTAGGGTCGGAAGGGACCTCAATAGATCGAGTCCGACCCCCTGCATAAGCAGGCAAGAGTGCTGGGTCTAGATGACCCCAGCTAGATACTCATCTAACCTCCTCTTGAAGACCCCCAGGGTAGGGGAGAGCACCACCTCCCTTGGGAGCCCGTTCCAGACCCTGGCCACTCTAACTGTGAAGAAGTTCTTCCTAATGTCCAATCTAAATCTGCTCTCTGCTCGCTTGTGGCCATTATTTCTTGCAACCCCCGGGGGCGCCTTGGTGAATAAATACTCACCAATTCCCTTCTGTGCCCCCGTGATGAACTTATAGGCAGCCACAAGGTCGCCTCTCAACCTTCTCTTGCGGAGGCTGAAAAGGTCCAGTTTCTCTAGTCTCTCCTCATAAGGCTTGGTCTGTAGGCCCTTAACCATACGAGTGGCCCTTCTCTGGACCCTCTCCAGGTTATCCGCATCCCTCTTGAAGTGCGGCGCCCAGAATTGCACACAGTACTCCAACTGCAGTCTGACCAGTGCCCAATACAGGGGAAGTATCACCTCCTTGGACCTATTTGTTATGCATCTGCTGATGCACGATAAAGTGCCATTGGCTTTTTTGATGGCTTCGTCACACTGCCGACTCATGTTCATCTTGGAGTCCACTAGGACTCCAAGATGAGAAATCAGCATAATGCTGTAGAATCAGCATTATGCTGATTCTACAGTGCAAGTACATATGCCTATATATTCCATATGTTTAACAAATTATCTTTCAAACAATAATAGGAACTAATATAATGGTTCTTAGAATGGCAATAATGAAATGTTCACTCCTGCAACGAGAACAAGTGTTTTATCAGAAGCGCCAGAAATTTAAGTCAGCTGGGGCTATATGCAGAAAACGCAACATAAAGTATAGGTCAGGCTAAGACAGAAATCTCTCCATGGTTTGTCTCAGACCTTTATTGTGAATTCTTTCACAGCCTGAAAGAAGGTAGATTAAGTCCCTGAAATTCTCCTCTGCAAAAGGAAACACACAAGAGACACTGTCAGAGAACTCAGTTTCATGTTTGATTGGCTCCCTAACTTCATGGTTTTCTTTAAAAACTGACACCCTGTTCCACCTTCCTGGTCTCCAGGAAGTACGGGTCCATATAAAATTAAATAAAGCTGCATTAAATTTTCCCACAGACTGGATTGGGAAAGGTGGCTGCTTTTCTTCTCCCTAAATTAACCTGTCAAGGTTGGTTGATGATCTCTTCTGCACAGACACACAGGACGCAACCTAGCATTAATTAGCTAGTCTGCTATATCAGGGGTTGTCAACCAGGGGTACACGTACCTTCGGGTGTACTTGGAAAGGGGTTAGGGGGTATGCAGGGGTGGGTGGGGACAGAGCGCCACCACCACCGCCACCTCCCAGGAGCAGGGCTGGGTGGGGGGTGGGGGAGGGCAGCAGCTCCCTTCTGCAGGCCACACAGGCGCTGCCCGGCTGGCCAGACATGGTAGGGTGGAGGGAGCTCATAAGCAGTGGCTAACGCTGTCATCCACTACCCTGCATCACAGCCACCCCATGCAAGCCCCCCCCGACCCTGCTCTGTGTCTGGCTACCCCCCACCACTCCACCGGAAGTGTACACAGAACGGTTACACCCCTTGAAAAAAAAAAAAAAAGGTTGAAAACCCTTGTGCTACATGATTAGGATTCCTTCTCTCTCTAATGTACATCACATAATGACATTACTCTTACCCCTTACCACTTATTGGTTATGTTTGTACATAGTAGTTTTATCTCCTCTAAACAGATCACATTTCTAGATGCATTTCTGTATGAATTTCCTGTATGGAAAAGCCTAGATCAACATGTTTATAGGTCATCATTTAAAAAGATTTCCACCCCCAAATGAGCTTCTACAATTTCAAAGCTGCTTTGTTTTTAATGACTTACAGTATGCTAGGCACTTCATAGCTGACAATACCCAATGAGGGAGGTCTTCTACAAAACAAAAAAAACACAAATAAATTAGCAACCAATATATTCTGCTTGCCTTAGCCAGCAGACAGTAATATAATTTTAAACATAGAAAATCACATGACCTAAATTAAAAATAATTTTATATATATAGATATAGATACATACACACTGTTAAAATGCATAGAATGTATGTATTTAAATTCTTTAGGCATAGATTTTAGAATTCCATTAATTTTCACTTACATTTGGAAAGAATAGCAGGCTCCCAAAACTAGCACATTAAGCCAATCTGCCTTAATTTTTCCGCATTTACTTACACTGTTTAAGAATAACTAAAAATTACAGGTAACTTGAATATGAAACAGAAAAAAATAATCCAACCTGATTTGTTTTGCAGAACAACAACACCATGTTTACTTGTGTTAGTCATGTTATATATGACATCCTGAGGAATTATTTGTGTTGAGTGCAAGACTTCTTCCAAAGACGGTAAGCCTAAAATTGTTTGCAAACTGCAGGAAGAAAAAAAGAACAGATATAATTTCAGAACTTTGGACAGCATATGAATATAAGTTCTTTTAGAAACATTTCAACAAGCAAGAATGCAAAAAACTGGTTTTATGCCTTTAATAACTATTTAGTCCCAGACTAAAAGAAAGGCGAGAAAGAAGGAGGAATGTCTATGGTTAACATTTACTCCTCAACTCCTAAAACATTTTTTCTAATAGCTTTCCAAAATAACACACACGCAGAATGTGAAATACATTTGTTAGCAAGAATACTCATCTTTAACAACATAAATATTGTCTGGTAACTTAAACAAGGGCTTTGAAGTTTAAGCTATGAGTATACCAATAAAGATTTTCTTGGCTGATACCGATACCTGATTATTAACCAGCCATATCAGCTGATACCGATAGAGAGCCAATGAATAGGAATGCAGCCCAGCAGCTTGGAGAGCAGTGCCCTGCTGGCAAGTCTGTGGGTGGGTGGGGGGCAGATCGAGGCCCCAATGGCAAGTGAGGCAGTGGGGCAGGGGCAGCGCCTAGTAGGGCTGTGCAAAACGGCACTGTTCCGTTTCGACTTGCGTTTTGACAGAACAGTGTTTCGTCTTGATTCGTCAAAACAGTTTTGCTGTTTCAACAGTTTGCCCATAGGCTATAACGGGGAGGTGCAAAACAGCCTATAACTTTGTCATTTCTGGCTGGATTTGGATGAAACTTGCAGGAATGGTAGCCCCCTCTGAGGTGCAGAAATGGTAGCCCCTTCTGAGGGCAGAAGCCTGCCAAGTTTCAAGGAGACAGGTACAGGGGTTTGGAGGAAACTGCACCTCAAGCTGCAGACAAGCACAACTCATGACATGGGTGACACTATGTGTGTTAAGGCGAAGCAGGGTGAAAGCTGCAGGCTTGCTAGTCCCTGCTGATGCCACAAAGCTTGCCAGCTTTCCAGGAGATAGGTGTAGAGCAGGCTTGTCCAACATGCGGCCTGCGGGCTGCCATGCAGCCCGCCAAGCCATTTTATCTGGCCTGCAGTGGTGGCGGTGTTGCCGCCGCAGAGCGTGGAGCCACGGCGGCAGCAATGGCACCGCGGAGCTGCTGCTGAGGAGTGCGGCGGCAGTGGCGAGGCGGGCAGGGAGCGTGGAGGGAGTACGGCGAGGCGGGCAGGGAGCGCTGTGGCGCTGAGGCGGTGGCACAGAGTGAGCGGCAGCAGCAGCAGCGG